AAAACTAAGCCGTCCTTCCCTCGGCAGACATTTTGATCTGCAAAACACTCAGCGACAGACGCGCCTCCGGGGAGGAAGGATTGTCAACTTCCCTTTATTAACGGATGTAATTCCGTAATTCACATTTCTCCAACGTGTCGCCGGGACGTCTAAACTATCCGGTGTTTTGAAGAAGTATTTGCCATGTTGGGCCCTCGACCTCTGTGCCTCCGCTTCATGGGAAGAAAACCCCTTCCCCATTACAGGTGGTCCTCGATTTACGGCCACAATTCAGCCCCAAATTTCCTGTCGGTTAAGCGAGACATTTGTTGAGCGGGGTTCGCCCCGTTTTATGACTTTTCTCTCGCCGCAGCTGTTCAAGTGAATCATTGCAGTTCTTAAATTAGGGACACGGTTGTTAAGCAAATCTTGATCATCAAAAGGGGATCCCATGACCCAGGGACATTGCAACTGTCACAAATATGAGTCAGTGGTCAAGTGGCTGAATTTTATTCATCTAACTGTGGGGGATGCAAAAGTCATGTGTGGGAAAATGGTCATAACTCACTTCTTTCAGTGCCGTTGTAAGTTCAAACGGTCACTAAATAGACGCTTAGAAGTCAAGGACTACCTGTATCAGGGATGACACCCTGGTCACCACTTCTTTATCCTTCTACCACCAAGAAGGAGATTAATATGATTTATTGAGTTAGGGATTTTCTGTCTTCACTTTGTGTTGGGGGTGGGGGTGGGGTACACCGAAGGAGCTCAACCGATCTCATTGTACATATGTTGTGCACTGACAATAAAGATTTGAACTGAATTGAATTGAATTCTGAATTGAGAAGGAAGAGGTACAAAGAGAAGGAGGAGAAGGAGGAGAAGGGGAAGGAGGAGGAGGAGGAGCAGAAGGAGGAGGAGGAAGAGGAGGAGAAGGAGGTACAAGGAGAAGGAGGAGGAGAAGGAGGTACAAGGAGAATGAGGAGGAGAAGGAAGAGGTACAAAGAGAAGGAGGAGGAGGAGGCAGAAGGGGAAGGAGGAAGAGGAGGAGAAAGAGATACAAGGAGAAGGAGGAGGAGAAGGAGGTACAAGGAGAAGGAGGAGGAGAAGGGAGGTACAAGGAGAAGGAGGAGGAGAAGGAGGTACAAGGAGAATGAGGAGGAAAAGGAAGAGGTACAAAGAGAAGGAGGAGGAGAAGGAGGTACAAGGAGAAGGAGGAGGAGAAGGAGGTACAAGGAGAATGAGGAGGAGAAGGAAGAGGTACAAAAGAGAAGGAGGAGGAGGAGGCAGAAGGGGAAGGAGGAAGAGGAGGAGAAAGAGATACAAGGAGAAGGAGGAGGAGAAGGAGGTACAAGAAGGAGAAGGAGGAGGAGAAGGAGGTACAAGGAGAAGGAGGAGGAGAAGGAGGTACAAGGAGAATGAGGAGGAAAAGGAAGAGGTACAAAGAGAAGGAGGAGGAGAAGGAGGTACAAGGAGAAGGAGGAGGAGAAGGAGGACAAGGAGAAGGAGGAGGAGAAGGAAGAGGTACAAAGAGAAGGAGGAGGAGGAGGCAGAAGGAGAAGGCGGAAGAGGAGGAGAAGGAGGAAGAGGAGGAGAAGGAGAAAGAGGCAGAAGGAGGAGGAGGAGGAGGAGGAGGAGAAGGAGAAGGAGGTACAAGGAGAAGGAAGAGAAGGAAGAGGTACAAAGAGAAGGAGGTGGAGATGGAGGAGGAGAAGGAGAAGGAGAAGGAGAGGAGGAGGCAGAAGGAGAAGGAGGAGGTACAAGGAAAAGGAGGAAGAGGAGAAGGGAAGGAAGGAGAAGGACAAAAAATAAGAGAAGGAGGAGGAAGGAAGGAAGGAAGGAAGGAAGGAAGGAAGGAAGGAAGGAAGGAAGGAAGGAAGGAAGGAAGGATCTTTCCTGATGTAGCTACAGATGTCAAATATTGAAGTGCAAAATGTTTGCCCTACATGCTCTGACAAAATGGGAAGACCTGGAAGACAAGACAGACAGGGTCTGTGTTCCGATTCTGCCTTTCCTGTGAGTAGGTATGGCAAGGAGGAGGAGGCTATCAAATGTAATCCTTTTACCAAGCAAGCATTATAATCACGGGGCCTGACCCGCCCTCTTCCTTTGTTTTCAGGGCTCTTAAACATGAAGTGGGCAGCTTACGGCAAATGGAATCGCTTCTTGTTTGCCACACGACAAGATGTGTCAAGGTTTGACAAGACGCAACTGAAACGGAAAGACGGCCTCTCCGCGGGGCCCTTTCCCCGGCTTCACCGCGTTTGAGAAGAAGTGAATTCTCGTTGGAGGATCAGACTTTCAAATGACTAGACTTCAGGCCAACTGTGTGACAAAGACCAACTACCGAAATATTGTCGGGTTATTTAAAACATCTTTTCCAACCCATTCCTCTGTTTCTGTGGAATTGTGGTTCCTATCGCCCTGGGCCTTTCTTTTCCGTGGGTCCCTGCACGAAATTGGCTTTCCTGGACGCTTGGACAGGGATTTGGGTCAAACCATGATGACATCACACAGGTCAAGAATGTCATTTTGCAAAAGACATCGATGCTATAAGCTACCCAAAACTATAAACTATGATTATTATTCTGTTGCTTTGAATGTACCTGTACATTGAGAGTTTCTGCACTGAAGACAAATTCCTTGTATTGAAAGTTGGCCAATAAAGAATTCTGTTCTGTTCTGTTCTGTTTTTCTATTCTGTTCTATTCATTTTCCGTTCTGTTCTGTTTTGTTCTAGACTGGTCTGTTCTGTTCTTCTATTCTGTTCTGCTCATACGACGCACTTAACGACTGTGCTACGAAAGGTCATAAAATGAGGCAAAACCCATTTAACAGTGGAAATTTGGGGCTTGTTAAGTCCCAACAATTAAGAAATTGTTGTTGTTAAGTCAAAGATTGTATTGTCAGCTGCCCTGGAAAAGCTGACAATATAATTTTGTACATACATAAACACACACACACACACACACACACAGCCAAATGTAACCGGAAGATTGGGTTCTTCGCATGAGGTCTAGAATGCTGAAATTTTTTTTTGAAATTAAAACCCACTGTCTTCTGAAAATTCAGGGCTGGCAATCTGAACATCTACACAAACCGGGTTATGCACATTTCTCAGTCCCAGGCATATAAATGTTTCAGCAATGAGAAATATTAAAAAAAAAACCAAAAAAAAACCCTTTGCCATGATAAATGTGGCAAGGCAAGGGAGCCGTTTCTTGTTAATTCTTGCAAGGCAAATTAAAAAAAAAAAAAACCCAAAGCAATTCATTTATCTTGAAATAAGCACCCCAGGTAGCACGCCTCCAATTCCGCAAAAGGTTACTCTTTGTTAGGACCATTAATCCATTAAAAAAAAACCCCATCTTTTATTTCAAAAACTCAAATCCAAAGTTGTACCTACGTTTGCCTGAGATTCGTCATGGCCATTAGTCTCCAACTCCTTGGCATTTTTTTTTAACTGCGAAAGAGGGAGAGAGAAAAAAAACACAACTATCATGATTAGCCAGTTTCACACACAGTTATTGTTGATTTATAACGACACACAACGAACAAAATATACGGAGCGTACCACTCTAATGAGCTGTTTGCTGAAACCAGTTAGAAAGCAACCTAGTTAAGATCTGATAGGCTGGCTTACAAAAAATAAAATAAAAGGAAATCGAGGCTCGTTATTTTTTTGTTAAAAAAATAATAAGATTAGGAAAGCCATCTCCAAGCGTGAGAAGGGTGCAAAATTGGCTTTCAAGAGTAATAAACGCCTTCATTTCCCATTTGGCTGCTATTAATTTGGAACTTTTGCAAGCGATTTGCAAAGTTGCTGGTAGCTAAATAGCAGGCAGCTAATAATTGCTTCTGAGTTATGAGTTTTGGGGGCATTTTTGAAAATGCCATGATGGGCTTTTTTTTTCTGCTCAGGAACCTAAAATCGGGAAGATAAAGCAGCTCATTTGATGGCCTCAGTCATTGAAACCCAACGTCAGGGTGATTGCAGGCCATCCGGAAAAAAAAAAGGAAAGAGAAATATTCTTAGGGGGAAAAATTAAATCAAATGCCACGTGATTACATAAACATGTTGAAAAGCTGAGGAAAGGCAATGTGGTTGTGTTGTAACAGAACAACGCTATCTGTTTTTTGGGGGAAATTGAGACATCCTATTGGAAAGAGATTAGTTTTGCAAGCATTGTCTATTCTTCGTTGCAGAATGTGTCTAGCTAAGAAATATTTTTAGATTGCTGCATGTTTGAGATCTCCCTATAGACTTTAAGTGAAAGTTTGAATAACAGAATAACAGAGTTGGAAGGGACATGAGAGGTCTTCTAGTCCAACCCCTTGCTCAAAAAGAAGATTCTCTACCATTCTGGACAAATGGTAGAACACCCATAATTTCTGGTGGCAAGCTGTTCCACTGGTTTATTGTTCTCACTGTCAGGAAATTTCTCCTTAGTTCTACGTTGCTTCTCTCCTTGATTATGTTGTGGCTCCGTTACCTGAGCCTGTGTCATCGGCAGGAGAGGACTCCGAGAGTGAAGAAGAGGAGTTGGCAAGGGCTCCCTCTCCAGGACCCTCCTCTCTGGCAATGCCTTCGGTGTCCGCCGAAGGGCAAGAGATCGGGCCTGGGCCAAGCATGTCCATGCAGCCACAGATGGACAGTGATGAGGGTAATGAGTCTTGGCTGGATCCACGCCAGTGTCGCAGAGATAAGCGCGCACAACAGAAGGGCGTGCCCGAGATTAGGCTGAGTCACTGGACCACACCCCACAGGATATAAAAGAGAGTGTGGTGGCCAGTCAAACCTTGTGACGAACAAAGCTGAAAGCTTCCACGCCATTCTGCATTGCCGGACTTTTGCTATAAGACTTAGCTGGACTATCTCTGGACTTGATTAACTCCGTAATTATTGAGCTGTTTCTTTTGATGTATCAGAGGTGGGGAGAAGTTATCTCTCCTCTTTGTAAATAATAAACTCTTGGCAGGCAGCCACTAGGTTGTTGCCAAGTTCCGTTAACTTAAGGAAAAGGATTTTGCTGGCTGGTTTGGTCTTTAACTCCTGAGCGTCTGTTGGTGTGTGTGCGTGGGGTTGGGGACAGAATAGATTATTTTCCACCTGTTGCTTCTTCTCCTGCCTTCTGGTGCTTTGGAGAATAGGTTGATTCCCTCTTCTTTGTGGCATCCCCTCAAATACTGGAAAACTACTATCATGTCACCCCAGTCCTTCTTTTCATTAGACTAGACATATCCAATTCCTGCAATCATTCTTTCCTGAAGATACCTCATAGTAGCGCATGTGAAGATATGTCTTGGATTGTTGGAATATTTAACCTCTTTTCAATTGCCCTTTCTTCCCTGAATGTAGAACATCAGCTTCTAATCTAGGGCATGTCGATCCTTGAATCCATCATTCTTTCGATTCACACAATATTTCCTGTGCCAAATGTGACTTGTGTGATTTTGGCCAAACTGTAGAATGTTTCTTTCATCATTCCAAATCACTTTGTTGGGAAAAAGTTTCAGGTTTAATCAAAGCTTTCTTACAACTTCCCTGGACAACAATTCCTGTAGTAAGATCAAAGAAGAGAGTTGCATCCTGTGCTGATCGTTGTTGGATAAGCTACGCTGTATTGTAGAACTGGAGAGAACTTACTCTAGGCCAGGTAATTTTTCAGAAGGCCATTTCAATAAATCTGTGAATGCCATTTTTCACTTTGGACCAGTTTTCCGCCAGCTCTAGTAGAGAGGTCTGTCTATCTATCTATCTATCTATCTATCTATCTATCTATCTATCTATCATCTATCTATCTATCTATTATCTATATGCAAGGGACGCAGTGGCTCAGTGGCTAAGAGCGATCGAAAGGTCGGCAGTTCAGCGGTTCGAATCCCTAGTGCTGCATAACGGGGTGAGCTCCCGTGACTTGTCCCAGCTTCTGCCAACCTAGCAGTTCGAAAGCAGTTAAAAGTGCAAGTAGAAAAATAGGGACCACCTTTGGTGGGAAGGTAACAGCGTTCCGGGCGCCTTTGGTGTTTAGTCATGCCAGCCAATGACCAACAGAGACGTCTTCGGACAGCGCTGGCTCTTCGGCTTTGAAATGGAGATGAGTACCGCCCCCTAGAGTCGGGAACAACTAGCACAGATATGCGAGGGGAACCTTTACCTTTACTTATATATCTATATCTATCTATCTATCTATCTATCTATCTATCTATCTATCTATCTAATATATGTCTTCTAGCTTTTATATTTATATATAATTCTGTTTACTACAAACAGTCTTTTTTCAAATGCAGGCTATTACTAAAAATGTCCTTAACAGCCTGCCAGAAATTCCATGGATAAGATAGAGTCTTACTAGAGTTGACAGAAAGCCCAGAAGCCAGGTTTGCAGAGAAAATTCAAACCCAATGATCAGTGAACGAACGGACGAACACATGTTGTTTCCTGCAGCTTTTTACAAGCTGTGTGCAAACTTAAATAGGCTAAGGGAGTGGCCAATTAGCCCCAAGTCTTACACTCCTCCTGAGTAGCCACTCCTGCCTTTTGGCAGCCCTGCGTGCTCGAGCATTGAGAAGAGGCTCCTCCACTTCACTCTCTTCACTTGAAGGAGCCTCTGGAGGTTCTGAAGGCCCTGGCTGAATCTCTGCCTCTGGCACCACATCTTCTTCAGCCTTCTCACTGTCTGACTCGAGTGCTGGCTGCACAGGCTGCTGGTGCGACATCACACCAGCCTCCTTGTCGTCGGGATCAACCACAATCCGCTAGCGGGCCACAACAATATACTCAGACTAACCTGAGCACAACCAAGCCCCCACCTAAACAGAACACACACCCATCCAATCAGAGCACAGCCAACCCCCCATCCAATCAGAGCACAGCCAAACCCCCAACCAATCAGAACACACCTCCAGCCAATCAGAACACAGCCAAGCTCCCACCCAATCAGTTCACACCCCCACTGGCAGTTAAAAGGAAGAAACAGCTGCGATCACACACATTGCTCCTAGAAGCACGAAGCCGAAAACACCAGCCTGAAGATGACGAATGAGACTTTGTCGAAACGTTGCCAAGACACCTCCAATTTTATGCGGGATAAAACCTGAATAACCAAAGACATATATATATATATATATATATATGATGTATGTCTTCTAGCTTTCCTTCACTTGAGTCCAACAGTTCTAAGCTTCCATTTCTTAACAATAGTTCTTACAATTGAAATTGCTAGGTGGAAGCATTTATAGATTTTTTTTATCGCCTTTACCTGCTTTGTAAGAGTGAATTATTTTCCACTTCAAATGCTCAGGCAGCTGTTTAGAAGAGGCTGCGGTTGTTGAAAGGAGACAGAACAATTATCGCAGCCGGAGACATGAGGAAGGGAAATTCCCAATGTTTACCTCTGGGACCATCACCTGGGAACCTACGGAGTCATTCATCTTTGGGGCCTTATTAACAACTTTATGGGGATTTTTTCTTTTTTTTAGGAGTGATATTGAATGAACAAGAAGGGTACTCGGATATATGCAGCCATCTTTGCAACTGTTTTCTTATTTTGAATCTGTAAACAACTGCAGACAGACCTCAAGTATGCATTCAAATGTATAAAATGATGCTGTTCTAGGTTTGTAGGTGTCAGACAGGAGAGATGGACAGTGTAGAAAAGAAAGAAAGATAGAAAGATAGATAGATAGATAGATAGATAGATAGATAGATAGATAGATAGATAAATAGATAGATGATAATGATAGATGATAGATAGATAGGTAAGATATAGTTAGATGATAGATAGAGATAGATAGATAGAGATAAATAGATGATATAAAATAGATAGATTATAGATAATGATAGATGATAGATATATGATATAGATAGATAGATAGTAGATAGATGATTGATAGATAGATAGATATAGATAGATGATAGATGATAAATAGATAGATAGAGATAATTAGATGATATAAAATAGATTATAGATAATGATAGATGATAGATAGATGATATAAGATAAATAGTAGATAGATGAGGGATAGATAGATAGATAGATAGATAGATAGATAGATAGATAGATAGATATAGAGATAATTAGATGATATAAGATAGATAGATGATAGATAGATGATATAAGATATAAGATCAAAACCATGTTGTTCCGCCAGGCTGGGCTATCAATATAAAGATTTTAATTGGTTTTAAATGGGATTTTAAATTCGGGGTTTTATAAATTGGGCCTATTATTTAATAATTTAATTATTTTAATTTTAATTATTTTTTAAAATTGTCTGTCTTTGTGTTTTTAATTAGGCTGTACATCGCCCTGAGTCCTTTGGGAGAAGGGCGGTATAGAAATAAAATAAAATAAAATTAAATAAATAAATAAATAAATAAATAAATAAATAAATAAATAAATAAGATAGTAGATAGATGATATAGATAGATAGATATAGCTAGACAGAAATAATTAGATGATAGATGATAGATGATAGATGATAGATATAGTTGAGATAGATATAGACAGAGATAGATATTGTAGATAGATGATAGAGACAGACAGATAGATAGATGATAGATAGATAGATAGATAGATAGATAGATAGATAGATAGATAGATAGATAAACTGAGAAAATGAGGCTGTAATACCATAGTGTGTAACTTTGATCAGCAGAGGGGGAAAAAAAACCAGGAAAGGGTCACAAGCTTATTTTTCATTTTAATTCTCCACTCACAAATTGGAATCCGCTTTGAGTAAAGCAGAGAGAGAAAGAAAAATCATTTGTTCAGTGTATAAAATGATAAATAAGAATGCTAGACTTCCAGCAGCTCACAGCTACGAAAATACAGAATACATTCATTAATGGGTTTCTTCTAACAATCAGAATTCCATCCATTTCTCTTTTTGCCCCCCGCATCTCTCTCTCTCTGTGTGTGCCTTTGTGTGTGTGTGTGTGTCTTTTGTGTGTATGTGTGTGTGTACATGGTGTGGGGGTAGAGATTGACTTTGTCATGAATGTTTTGTGTTTGGAGGAAAAAAGGAAGAAGAGAAAGATACAGGATAATGAGACATCGAAATAAATAGCATCGCGTTGCTTCTATGTCTAATAAGCACACACCTTATTATATCAAATGCTACTTCTTTGTTCCTTCCATTTTTTCCTAATTTCTTATTCCAACAATGCACTAATGTTTGAGAATGGCTTATTTTATAGATGCAGAGAGCGCCATTGTGAGATCAAATGTTCAATTTAAACCACGTGATTTTATTCAAGATTTATTATTTGGCACAGAATTGAAAGACCGCAGAAACATGAGAAGAACAAACCAAGGGAAAAAAAAAAGATATGGAAGAATAAAAGAGAAAGTGAAGGACAGGAAAAAGACCACAAAAAATAACTGCAGGAGCCACTTACAAACATAAGGATTGCTATTTTCACCTCTGGGAATAAGACGGCTCCCTTCTTCCCATAAGCAACCCTTAAGTGGTAAATCCCAAAATCACCAATTCCCTCTGACCATTTTCAGCAAAATAATAATAAGAATAAAAGTCCTTGAAGGGAATCCAGTCGTTTCCTCCTTAAGCAAACAAACCAATTATTCTATTTCTGCAAACTCAGCCATCTTCGCCACTCACTGCCTCATTGTGGGTATTTCTGCATTCTTACATTTTTGTGGGTATAATAATCTCACTGCACTTACCATATACAAAACCTACCTGCCCATCAGTAATTAATCTTGAATTAAAAATTCAAGAGATATTGTTGTCTCTATCTATCTGTCTATCCTTCTATCATCTCTCTCTCTGTGTCTGTCTCTCTCTCTCTATTATCTCTCTCTCTCTATCATCTATCCATCTATCCAACTATCCATTTATCTATCTCACAGATGTCAAACTCGCAATGTCATCTTGCTGTCATATGGCTGTCACATTTTTCCCATTTGCAGTTTGACACCCCTGATCTATCTCTCTATCTCTCTATTATCTATACATTATCTATCTACCTATCCATATCTATCTATCTGTCTGTCTGTCTGTCTATCTATCTATCTATCTATCTATCTATCTATCTATCTATCTCTATCATCTATCTCTTTCTATCTACCCATCCATTCATCTACCCATCCATCCACCTATCTCTCCATCTATCCTTCTATCCATCCATCCACCCATCCATCTACCCATCCATCCATCCATCCATCCATCCACTTATCTATCCTCCTATCCTATCCTATCCTATCCTATCCTATCCTATCCTATCCTATCCTATCCTATCCATCCATCTAACTATGTAACTATCACCTCTCCAATTTATATAGCTGCCATCTCAAAAGCAAGTGAATCTGGGCAGCATACAACAAAATTGAACAATGAATCTGCAAAAACATTAACAACTATTAAAATATTTTTTTAAAAAATATATATATAAAAACAGATTTCTGAGCCTGAGGCTTTGTCCACAATTATAGCCAACCGTCTGTATCAGGGAAACTGAGCCAGGAAGCTTGGCCTGAGCTGCCCTTGTTAGCACTCTACTGTTTCATAAAGGCGAGTTACCAAAGCCAATCCTTTTCTTAATTTCAGCAGCTACTTAATCTCTCGATAATCAGGAATGAATTAACTTCAATTAGACGACAGAATTACCAAGCTTTATTAGCTTCAGCTGAAACGACTCTGGCTACAATGATATAAGACTTAACTGAGATACGCACAATATCAGACCTCCGGACTTTTCGTCGGGCCCTGAAAACACACCTATTCCATCTAGCTGGGCTGGCTTGATCCTATCCTCTCAGTTTTAATTGAATTTGGTTTTAATTGGGTTGTTTTTAATATCTTGGGCCGAAATTATTTAATTGTTTTTAAAATTGTTTTTAAATTTTTATATGCAATGTTTTATCTTGGCTGTACACCGCCCTGAGTCCCACAGGAGAAGGGCGGTATAGAAATAAAATTATAATAATAATAATAATAACTCTTGTCTCCTGTCTACACAGTTGCTGCCTCGACTCCCAATGACAAGTTTCCACACAGCTCAACCATCTTGAGGCAATCAAGTTCCCTCAAAAGAATGATGAGTAGCTACTCTTGCTTGGGGTCTTTGTGTCCTCCTTGAAGATTGGCGTTAGGACACCATGAGAAGATGGGCTCAGAACCATAGGGCCACAGACAAGGAACGCTTACACAAGAGTGGCATCCATCTACTTCACAGTCTAGCAAGATAAGGAGCAACTACCATCATCATCATCATCATCTTCATTTAACAACCTCATAACTGAATGGAGCAACTGAATGGAGCAACTGAATGGAGCAAATGAATGGAGCTAACAGAGTGTTTAGTGGCCGGATGCCAATGCAGATTTGTTCAGCAAATATATTCTCATTGTGCCCAGAGAGAGAAATATTTATCTCTACCTAGGATTGAACTCACAGCCTCCTGACTGTGAGGCGAGAGGTCCACCTCTAGGCCACTGCTCCACTGCCATCATGCCCTTACTAGATATAAGATACCATGGCTTTCTAATTATGTCTCAAGCCTCTGGGACATTATTCCCACATCCCGAATCTGACTAGCCCCTACTGTAACCATAGAACCCCAGACGGTGAAAATATGGTTTTTCTGACAGGTGTTGGGAGACTAGCCTCAATTAGAGAGATTTGGTCCTCTCTAATTGGCAGAGGCCTATTTTGAAGTGGATGTATTTATTTTAGTGTTATAATGAGGCCTGGTCTGGAGGAAGATGGCAATTTGATTTGTGAACTGCCTAGCGATATATTAAAAATATAGAAAATAGGCTATAGATGTTCTGGAAACGGAGGAGAGGGGAGAGGAGAAGGGAGAGGAGGGGAGAGGGAAGTGGCAGGGAGGGAAAGGGAGGGATAGGGGAGGAGAGGAGAGGAGAGGAGAAGAGAAGAGAAGAGAGGAGAGGAGAGGAGAGGAGAGGAGAGGAGAGGAGAGGAGAAGAGAAGAGAAGAGAAGAGAAGAGAAGAGAAGAGAAGAGAAGAGAAGAGAAGAGAAGAGAAGGGAGTGGAGTGAAGTGGAGGAGAGGGGCGGGGAGGAGATAAGTGGAGTGGAATGGAGGAGATGAGAGGGGAGGGGAGAGGAGGAGATGGGAGGGGAGGGGAGGGAAGGAGAGGAGAGGAGAGGAGAGGAGAGGGAAGTGGACGGGAGGAGAGGGGAGGGAAGGGAAGGGGAGGGGAGGGGAGGAGAGGAGAGGAGAGGGGTTCCCATCTAATGAACACATCATTCATGTATTACTTAACTAAAATGTTACTACTGACTGTTTGATTGAAGTAATCTCTCCTCATCCCAAAGGATTTACTGATGGACTCCTGCTGAAGCTTCTCCATTCGGTGTGCACTTTAGGTCAACCGTGGCTGCTTAAAACGCTGTAGAGACCCATCCAAACATATACCCAGCTCACCTGTTCCTGCAGGATCTTCAGCATGGCCTGCGTGTGGGAATGCTCTTCTTTTGCTTGTTCGAGTTCCAATTTCTTGTTATTTAATTCTTCTTGGATTTTCAACAGTTGCTACAAAAAAAAAAAAGAAGGGATATTGATAATTAGGGAGGCTTGATTTATTTAGCCTAGGGCATAACACAGAGTTGTCCAATGTTTCCAGCTTTGAGGACTGGCCGGGGGTGCGGGGAGAAAGGGGTTGGTTCCGTGTGAGCGGGCAGCAAGCATGCACACACATGGACAGTTCAGGGGTGAAATGTTCCCGGTTCAGACCGGATCACCCGATCCGGTAGCGATGGCGGCGGGTGGTTCAGAGAACCAGTAGCAAAAATTCCTGCTCCCCCCCCATGCTCAGCTGAGCCGCGCGATCATCAGAGGCTTTTTTTTAAACTTTTAAAAGCATTTTTTTCTTTGGCCGAAAAAATGCTTTTAAAAGTAAAAAAAAGCCTCTGATGATTGCACAGCTCAGCTGGGATCGTCAGAGCCTTTTAAAAGCATTTTTTTCCTACAACCTATGCTTTTAAAAGCCTCTGATGATCCCAGCTGAGTTGCCTGATCGTCAGAGGCTTTTAAAAGCATTTCTTTTTTCTACAACCTCTTCAGCCGAAGAGGTTATAGAAAAAATGCTTTTAAAAGTTAAAAAAAAAAAAGTTGGCCACACCCACCCTGTCACATTACCCACCACCACCACCAAACCACGCCCACAGAATCGGTAATAACAAATTTTACATTTCAACACCTGCCACTCATTTAAACGGAGCACATGCATGCACACTCGCCCACTGTTTGTGAGGATGCGCTTGTGCGTGCACACACTCGCCGGACATTTTGGAGGCTTGGTTGCAAACACCTCATGGCCCACTAGTGAGCCATGGCCCACAGTTTGGGGACCTCTGGCATAACATGAAAAAATAAAGGTTTCCCCTGTCCAGTCGTGTCCGACTGATTTCTTGCCTGAGGGAGCCAGCGTTGTCCGAAGACAAACTCCATTTCAACACTGTTACCTTCCCACCAAAGTGGTACCTATTTATCTACTTGCATTTGCATGTTTTCAAACTGCTAGGTGGGTAGGAGCTGGAGCAAAGAACAGGAGCTCACCCCGTCAATGAGTGCTTGGGTCTCGAACCTTGACTGTCAGCTTTCCAGCTGACAAGCTCAGGGTCATTAACGGCTGAGTCATCATGCCCCCCCCCCCCTTTATAACATGCATGGAGTTACAATATATATATATATATATATATATAGTATATGTAGGTCTTTGGTTATTCGGGTCTTCTCCCACGTAAAATTGGAAGTGTCTTGGCGACGTTTATATATATATATATACACACACACAAACGTTTCACCTAAATTAAAAACACAATAAAATATAAATATTAAAAAGATCTGTGTTCAAATACCAATGACTAGGCCAGCTAACCATTAAACCGCAGCATCGTTTATTGGAAAAAAGTCAGATACTGGACCCTTCTACAGGTAGTCCTCGGTTTACAACCCAACCACCACGGAGCCTGGGATTTATGTTGCTCAATAAGAAATGTGTTAAGTGAGTTTTGTCACTTAACAAATTTGGAAAATACTTGATCCCTTCCTCTCTGTGGCAGCCCCTCAACTATTGGACGATTGCTATCATGTCTCCCTTGGTCCTTTTGTTCATTCAAGCCAGATTCAAGTCAGATTAACAGAGTTGGAAGGGAGCTTTTGGGTCATCTAGTCCAGCCCCCTGCCCAAGCAAGAGACCCTACACCATTTCTGACCGATGGCAGTCCAGTCTCTTCTTGAAAGCCTCCAGTGATGAAGCTCCCACAACTTCTGAAGGCAACTTCTCTTCCATGGGTTGATTGTTCTCACTGTTTCTCCTTATTTCCAGGTTGAATCTCTCCTTGGTCAGTTTCCATCCATTATTCCTTGTCTGGCCTTCGGGTGCCTTGGAAAATAGCTTGACCCCCTTCCTCCTCTCTGTGGCAGCCCCTCAAATATTGGAAGATGCTCTCATGTCTCCCCTGGTCCTTCTCTTCCCTAGATTAGCCAGACCCAGTTCCTGCAACTGTTCTTCATATGTTTTAGCCTCCAGTCCCCTCATCATCCTGGCTGCTCTTCTCTGCACTCTTTCTAGAGTCTCAGCATCATTTTTATAGTCTGGTGACCAAAACTGGATGCAGGATTCCAAGTGGGATCTTACTAAGGCTTTACAGAGTGGTATTAGTACCTCTCTTGACCTTGAAGCCATCTTTATATGTCTTCCCAAGTCTGGAGGAAAAAATCTCTCTCAAAGTCTTGCACCAATGGCGTTTTTCAAATTTGTTCTGTTTTTGCGGCGGCGGCTCGAATGACGGACATGCAAATCACGTCTGCCGGCGTCTTGTGCCTGCTCGGCCTGCCTCCAAACACATTCCCTCTTCACGTAACATGCATTTTCGTCGTACATTAAAACTTTCTAACTCCTCGCCAGCGGGACCAACCACAAAGCTGCTGTCATATCTATCCGGGCTAAAGTTTTATTTGTTGAAGGAGACCCTCTGGCTTTAATAAGACCGGGCGGGGGACGGGTAAGGATTGCAGCCCATAAATAATTTATGCACTCAATCCCTTTAATATAATTAGTCTCTGGCCAGCCGCCATCTCGTTTCCTACAAAGCCATCATCTGAAATAGATTTGTGCTGAGTTGCCAAGAAGACCAAAAAAATGGCTTCTCCCGCCCCCACCTCTGCTGGGAGAGCAGGACCCTTGCAAACTGATGTATCAGCAGTCAAAAGCCCCCAGAGATGAAAAAGGGAAGAGTTGGGGGACCAACTGTGATATTTATTGATTCGTTTATTTATTGGTATCCTGCCTTTATTTTAGAAACAACTCCAGGCTGTGAATATCACCAACGTATCTTCCTCCTCCTAGTTTCGACCACAAAAACAATCCTGTAAGGTAGGTTGGCCTGAGAAAGATAGAGAGAGACTGGCCCAAAGTCACCCAGCTGCCTTTCATGTCTAAGGCAGAACTAGAATTCCCAGTCTCCTGGTGATTGACCCAATGTCACCTAACTGGCTTTCATGCCCAAGATGGGACTAGAATTCAACAGTCTCCTGGTGATTGACCCGAAATCACCCAGCTTTCATGCTTAAAGGGGAACTAGAACTCCAAATCTCCTGGTGATTGACCCAAAATAACCCAGCTGGCTTTCATGCCTAAGGTGGGACTAGAACTCCCAGTCTACTGGTGATTGACCCAAAATCACCCAACTGGCTTTCTAAGGCAGAACTAGAATTCCCAGTCTCCTGGGAGATTGGCAGAACTAGAACTCCAAATCTCCTGGTGATTGACCCAAAATAACCCAGCTGGCTTTCATGCCTAAAGTGGGACTAGAACTCACAGCCTCCTGGTGATTGGTCCAAAGTCACCCAACTGATTTTCATGGTTATGACAGGACTAGAACTCATCCTCTCCTGCTTTCTAGCCTGATGCCTTAATCACTAGAACAAACTGGGTTACGGGGGAAATTCTAAGGCTCTGAAAAGACTTTCAACTTTTCCAGTCCAATATGGAGCCCATATATTCAAGGGGGTGACGGAAGGGACCTCAATATCCATTACTTTGCCTGGAAATATACAGTATTTGTGGAACCTAAGTTAAAAACAACTTCCTCTAAGCCATTCCCTGTATCTTTGCTTCCATCAACACTTTCATTTGCATCTGCAAAGAATTTCTCACTATATTAATCTAATTAAACCGAAGAACAGAGCCCCTGGTTAATGCATCATTCCATTTGCTTGTTAAAATTTCTAAAATGTGTAAAAGATGTTCTGGATAAGACATGGTTGAACTTTGGTAAGAGGAGGAGGAGGAGGAGAAAGAAGAAGAGAAGGAGGAGGAGGGGGAAGAAGGAGGGGGAAGAAAGAAGAGGAGGAGGAGGAAGAGGGGAAGGAGGAGGAGGGAAGGAGGAGGGGGGAAGAAGGAGGAGGAGAAGGAGGAGGAGAATATGGAAAGAAGCAGAAGAACGGAGATGTTTTTGTTGTTGTTGTTTTGTTTGACAAAGAATATGAAAAGACGCCATTAAACTAGTAATGATGAAGCATGCAATTGTTTTCCAATGAAGCGAAATGCTACAGAAATCCAAGTCTCCCCCCCCCCCGCTCTGTGTGTGGAGGAAACACAAAGGACGGATACGTGGCAGATCCCCGAGGAAAATGGATGGTATGAAGAAATGTGCCATTAATTGCAGTTAGCTGGGCCTTGGCGTTTGGGTCAATACTGTCTTGAAAACCTCAGGCCATCTATCACTTATTAGCCTCATCTTCAGCCAAGGCTGCTTAGCCCTGGAAAAAAAGTTCTTCACTTAAAGATAAACTTCTAAAATGAGTCAAAACTTCTAGATCTTCCTTGGTTGGAAGTAGTTGGCTAGGGAGAGAAGCAAAGACTGTTCCCGGTTAGGAAGATGGATGGAGGAGGGAGAGAGAGGGAGAGAGAGGGAGGGAGGGAGGGAGGGAGGGAGGGAGAGAGATATGATTAGATAGATAGATAGATAGATAGATAGATAGATAGATAGATAGATAGATAGATAGACAGACAGACAGACAGACAGACAGACAGACAGACAGATAGGAGAGAGAGAGAAAGAAAGAGGATAGATGATTGATGATTGATAGATGATGAGAGAGATTATTAGATAGATAGATAGATAGATAGATAGATAGATAGATAGAGAGAGAGAGAGAGAGAGAGAGAGAGAGATGATAGATAGATAGATAGATAGATAGATGATAGATAGACAGATAGATAGATAGATAGAAGAGAGAGAGAAAGAGAGAGGTGATAGATGATAGATGATTGATTGATAGATGATAGATAGATGAGAAAGAGAGAGAGAGAGATGAGAGAGAGATGAGAGAAAGAGATAGATAGATAGATAGATAGATAGATAGATAGATAGATAGATAGAGTGAGTGAGTGAGTGAGTGAGTGAGTAAGCGGGCGGGCAACAACACTTAGACTTATATACTGCTTCACAGTGCTTTTACAGCCCTCTCTAAGCGGTTTACAGAGTCAGTCTCCTGCTCCCAAAAATTTGAGTCCTTATTTT